AAGAAATAATCATGCATTTCCTGCCTTTGATGAGAGACATGCTATTGCTTTGTCATCTCATAGACAAAGGACATTAGATCAAGATGATTGGAAGCAAATCCCTCTGGACAGCTGCCGTCCCAAACCTGATGTGTGCTCGCTTTGATGGTGGAGGAGGGGAGAAGACAGGAAGAAAGAAAAAGAACCGTCAGGAATCAAGCGAACTGTCCTGATTAATCTTCCTTAGAACTACCAATTCTATGCACTTAAAGCCTTCACCAACTAAGCACTGATGATTCCAAAGTAAGGATCTGCAAAATTAATTTTGATATGTTGGAGATATCAAAGGAAGGTATTTCAGAGTCTCTAAAGAATTCACAAATACATGCTATTTTCTCCTCAAAATGGGGAAAGCATGTGCTTACAGAGCCATGCTATATGCAAACTCATGTGCATGTATGCATCTAATGTATTCAGTCACTGTATCAACTATTTTTGATGGCATGTTACTCAGCAAAGGAAGGATACAGTATAGGCAGTGAAGTTCTTGTATAGCACTGTAGAACTGAATCTTTGGCCTCAATTGATTATGTTTGTTTTCCTAAACTTCCTTAATAAGGTTAAAAGCAAGTTTTAAAAGTTGATAAGGAATTCGACTTGCTTGTAAGTAAAGTTGACTATTTAATATTTATTTACTTATTGAATGATTGATTTCTGGTACCACAAATTTAACTGAGGACCTTCTGCTTGCCAGGCAGGCACTGTGTTGCTGAGCTATAACCCCAAACCTAATTTCATTGTTTTTGAAATTATTTTGTAAGTCTGAGCTTCAGAAACCAGAAAGGAAGTACTAGAATAGAATGTTGGAGGGGGAATAATAAACTTGGTCTGTGAAAGTAATTTTTCCCAAATGTGAAAGAGATCTACTTTTATAAGAAATCACTTTATTTTCTTTTTATTTTTTTTTGCTTTTTCATATAATGTTATTAAATTTTAAAAATACACTGAACGATTTTATAATAAGAATGTAAAATTGTAACTGTAGAAAAAGGAAAAAACTGTAGAATCAAAACTGTAGAAAAAGGCTGTGGAACAAAGATGCAGGCACTGAGGCAGGAGAATTAGCAGGGCAAATAGATGAAGTGGAATAATTAGAGTAAGCTGCCAATTAAAGGCTTCTGAGGTCAACGGAGGAGAAAGTCAGGCTGCGAGGGCCGGTCTCTCAGCAGCCACAGGGAGCCCCAAAGGAAGGAAGGGCCTAAGCTGGAGCTGGTGGTGAGTTACGGGTCCAAGGAAATGTTCAGGAAAATTGTGCCAGAATCCTGGCCCTTTGTAAGTTGCTAAAATAAAATGCTTTGTTAAAATCAATTTAAAGCCAACTACTCTGCAAAAACTCTGACATTAATTGCAAAATTTGTGTAAGCAAATATATTTTTCAATATATCATCTACCTTTTTTCTTTTGGGCATTGAATCCAAAGGTGCTCTGCTATGAGCCACTTCTCAGACCATTGTTCATTTTTATTTTGTGACAGAGTCTCCCAAGTTGTGCAGGAAGGACACAAACTTGCAGTCTTTCTGCCTTAGCTCCCCAAGTACTGGGATTATAGTTGCTCGTCATTGTGGACAGTTTGCTTTTATTTATTTATTGCTGAAAACAGAACCCAGGGTCTGAGCTCACCATACCCTCTAGTTTATTCTTTCATGAGTCCTTCTGTGCTCTTATCTCCAATGTCACATTGCTTTAGAATATATTAACCACAGAGTGCTATCATCTCAGTTTATTCAGACATATGAAACCTAAATTGCTGTTAGAGCTCTTGATGAGTATTCCATTCATGTGAGGCCAGTTACTCAATTTGCTAACTTTTCAGTGTAGAGAAAAATAGCCAAGCTTGCATATCCAAACTTGTTCACTGATGCCATGTTTTAAGAGGAATTAGTGATGTACAGTTTTTTGGAGAAATTGACAAAAAGTGCTGGAAATGCCTATGAACAAGGAAATTTATTATGAGTTCCATTTATCTGTTCAACAAATATTAACTGAGCATGTAAAGGTGCTAGGAAAGATTCAGTGCTGCAAGTACAATGGAGAACAAAGTTGACTAAAGTCGGTGTCCTGGAAGAGATTCTTGCCCACCGTGTAAATAATGGGTTTTGAATTTTCTCTTCTGGAGAAGAGAAAGAATAGCAAGATCTAGAAAGGTTAGGTGAAGTTTTTAGGAAAAAAGGAGAAAGCATTGAAGGAGGAAGCCCAGTGAGAGGAATGAAAGGTTAGATTGCCAATAAATAGTAAGAAATACTGCAAGCTAAGAATTGAGCAAGCAATAGAGTTGAGAAGATGGCCCAGTCCAGGTCCTACACAGTACTCAGGCCTTGGTCCACTGCAAAGAATCTGGGATTTACAGAAGCTCTGGTGTGCAGAACAAAGGAACAAAAAAGAAGGATATAAGGAAGAAAGGAAGAAGGAAGGAGGAAAAGAGAAAGAAAGGAAGAAAGAAAGAAAGAAAGAAAGAAAGAAACAAAAGAAAGAAAGAAAGAAAGAAAAGAAAGAAAGAAAGGATTGAGGAGGGAGAGAGGAAGGAAGGAAAGAGGAAAGGAGGTCAAGAAGACAGATATTGGCTGGTAAATCAAACCAAGTTAAAAAAAATAAATGTGATCAGGAAAGTAAAAATCTTAACTTTGAAGACAGCTAATCTTGCCTTCCCATGTTTAGTGAAAAGGAAGACCAATCAGAAAAGCAATCTAGCCATCAGATGTTGGTGAACTATTTGACCTGTGTGTACCACTGTGCTTCAGATATAGCTCAGTTGGTGTGACTGGCGGCAGAGGCTGCTGACAATTCCTCTGGTAAGTGTGGAAGTATGTTGAACAATTTTGATCTCTGATTCATGTTAGATGAGTACAAAGTCAAATTTAAGCACAGAATATCTCTCAGGTCAAAGTCTACATTTGTGGACCTGAGTCAGTATATTTTTGTGTTCAGTGTTTCAGGGAGCTGTGTAATAAATATTACAGACATACATACGGGTGCCAGATATGCTGGGATCTTTGAGATAGATAGTGGTGCCATTTCCATGGTGCTGTACAATTCATATACTGCTTCTGTTCTCAGCAGATTTCACTCACTTTGCAGAGGATTCATGCACTGAGACACAAGTCTGTAACAGATTGCAAACAGACTGATCCTGGTTTACTCGGGAGAGAGATAGCTCTAAATATGCGGTGGAGGGTGTGCATATGCATAAAGTCTGCACCTGTAATAAAGACAGTGATGGGGTGTTAGAAGAGAATAGAGCACCAGACTTGCTCAGGCAGTAAACACTGAGCTAAATTACAAAGACTGCAAGCAAATCCAGCAAGGTGGGTATTGATGGGACGATGCTGTTGGTGCAAATATGTATGCAAGCCCAGTTGTGTGTTATTGGTTTTTTAACTGAAACAAAACCAGGCTGAGTGGAGCATGCATACTGACAGGAATGGTCGAGACCTAAAGTGAAGAGGTGGCCCAGACCAGGTCCTATAGGTTATTCAAGTCTCGGCCCATTGCAAAGAATCTGGGATTTACAGGTGCTCTGAACATGCTTCAAGTACAAGAATAATATAATCCAACATGTAATTTCCTAGAAAGTAAGAAGACTAGATGGATGGGTGAGAGGCTTAGATGTGGTGAGACTATTAAGTAAGTCCTGACAGTGCCAGATTATTAAATGTTGAGTAAATTTTTTAATAAAATTGCTGTGTGGTTCATAAATAAAAGCTATGTTGAGGATTGAGTTATGTCAACAACGCCACATTTCTAAAACATTTTGTAGGGCTTACAACATACAACTTTACAAAGCTGTACTTCCAGAAGTTTAGATACCAAGTAAATGGGTTTCAGGAAAGTCTTACAAAGTTGGGTCTCTGAGCTTGACTCCTTAAGCAATTTTTCCCCCTGGGAAGTTTCCTGTCTGTGAAGTATATGATTCTTTCACAGTTATTTCAGTTAAATATTCAATTTTCATATTGTTTCGTTTTCCTTATAATAAGCCAGAGGAAGCAGTTTCTCAATGCAATTTCTGTGATATTGCAGAGAAAATATACCCTAATTTATACTACTGTAATTGTTTTTGGTGCTGAGGTTGTAATTCAAGATATGCTAAGTGCATTGTCTACTTCTAAGCTATACTCTCAGCCCATATACTTACTTTAAAAATGCAATATTTTGCTTTAAAACTTTTGGCTCATTTCAAGGTTTAAACTGGATTATGAGTTTTCCTTCCCGTGTCAGTACAAATGTTTGTTTTAGTGGCAAACCTGAACACTTATTAAGCCATTTATAATTTTGTAGGTAAAATTATTTTGGCATTTTATGCACTTAATGTTAGAATTTTTCATGTGTAGCTCTGTGTTTCTTAGTTCTATATGTAATACTTTTATGCTCTTTCTTATTTTATTACTCTATTCTCCTTTAATCCTCCAATTCTATTTTTGCATTTCTCTCTCAGCAGTAATAATGACTCCTTATCTTGCAGAAGCTTATGAAGCATCATTGATTTTTCTAAGTTCCTAATGTTTTTAGTATATGGAAAAGAGATCACATTTGAATATAGCTTATTTTCCTTACTTGTGTCTTTTCTTCAAGTTAACTTGATCAGTATTCCTCTGGAATATATTGGTCAAAATAAATAGTAAAAGAAATTTACACACTGACTTTCTCAATGAGGGAAATGTAGAAAAACAGTATTTTTAAGTATGTATGTATATAGAAAAGCTAATGAGTCTGAAATCAGTGTTAGAAGGTAAAACACAAAAAAAATTAAGAGCCAATTAATTTAGTATGTAAAAGAATTAACTTTATATCTTTTTCTGTTTTTATATGGTTTCCTCTGAATCTTATTTCTCCCAATACCAACTCTAAATCTCCCTAACGCCCATAAACAAAGAGCAAAATACATAAAATGTTTGTTTACTTTCTGTTGGGTTTATTAGCAGAAATTGAATCAATCACATTTCATCAAATATAATTGGCCTCCCTTTCATTTAAAGAACAACTGTATTTATACTTAGCAATGGTCATTCTTGCATATGGCAGTAATTTCTCTTTGTTTAGGATAATTATTCTTGTCTATGGGTTTATGGGTAGGTAAACATGATAGTATCCTACTGAAGGAAAAGAGAAGCAACCACAGAGATAAAGCTAGACAGAATTCTCGGTATTATTTTCAGAAGTGTGTCAATGTGTCACTGAAAGACAGACCAAGATGCATGGTTCTACTGCTAATGGTCATTACTGCTGGCAACCATTTCCCTATAAACGTGAGGAAAGTGAAAGCTAGCTGACAATATTTAACCCGGGCACGATAAACACAAATGGTCCAGTCTTGAGCACATATGACAGCAATACTAAAAAGTTCTGCTGAGGTGTTTTCATTCATTAAAACCCTTTACACAGAGACATGTGCTCATGTAAAGGCTTAGTAAATAGTAATAACAGATGGCAAGGTTTATACATTTGCATAAACTATTCAATGATAACTGTTTTTCACCTTATTTATCCCTTGTTTGCACTGACAAGGATCAACATTTCTTACTGCAAGGAAAGATTTTCACTCTTGCTGTATTTCTAGCTCTCCCCATGGCCAGTGGTACTGTAATAACCCTGTCCTGACAAGTCCTAAGGCAGTGCATTTTGTACAGCTACGCTTTGGATCTTAATGTCCCCACAGACCTGCATGTTAAAGACCTGGTCCCCAGCCTGGAGCACAGCTGTGAGATGGTGGAACCTTTACATGAGTGGCCCTTTTGAAAGGAAATGATGTCTCTGAGGACATGTCCTTGAAGATGCATTGAGATCCCAGCTTCTGCTGTCTTTTTGCTTCCCAGGTGCCATGAGATGACAGATCTCCCATGCCAGACCCTCCTGCCTTAGGTACTAGGCTGCTAATGGCCCAAAGCAATGAAGCCAAGAGATCATGGACTGAAACTTCTGAAGCCATGAGCTGAAATAAACCTTTCTTCCTTAATGTTGAAAGTCTCAGGCATTTTCTCACAATGACAGACAGGTGACTAATGTAGGTACCATGGCCTCTTATTTTCCCATGGAGCAAAAAGTCTCTCACACTAATGACAGCTGAACACCGAAGTGCTCTTTCAGGTATTTGAGATAGAGGTGAATGGGTGACAAATGTGAGTTGTCTGTGATGACCCTTGTCATGCTAGTTTTCAGACATAGTAATTAACAGAAGCATCTTACTTTGGATAAAATGATATATTTATCCTTTTTATCATTCAGAAAAAAGTGGTATCTGGTTAGTAAGATTCTTTTTTTTTAGGAATAAACTTATCTTAGACTATTACATATGTGAGACATTAGAGTGTATACCATTTTCTAATTTATATTAGGTCCCAATAAAGATGAATCAAATACTTTATTTTGATTTATTGGCATGTATATGTAGATCTTGAATGGTTATTTAGTTCAGACATGAAACAAGTCCCATAGATGATGACTCTAATGATTAAAACAAAAAATTCCTGTCTTTTATATTCAAGAACAGTTATACCTGAAAAAATTTATTTTACTAGTACGTGTGTGACAGGCCTTCAAGATGTATATATAAATTTATACTTCTGACTAGCTCAGATAATAATAAATATACTCATATTTTATTTACAAATTTGGGTCACGATTGCTGCTAATTTTTCCTTCTAGAATATTATAGTTTTTCTCTTAGAATATTACACATTTTGTACACCTAAGACAGTAAGGGTTGTATGAGTGCTGGTTAAAATTTTATGATTTCCACATAGAATGATGCTTGAGAGAGGTGTTCATTGGTGTTATTTAAACAAAGGTTGGCTGGGAGCACCGTACATTCACTGATTCTGGGGAGGTAGGTAGATGGGGAAGGAGATAAGCAGATCTCAAGTTCCCAGGGACATGGATTTTTTACCCTCTAGAACAGCACTTTGAAGAAGCTATCAGGCTCTGGGAAGTATCAACCCTGCTAGAATCTTGGCTGTCTCTCACTTCTTGAGATGTGGCCTTTGGCAAATTACCTTTTCTAAGCCTTTTTTCTATCTTTAAAGCAAAGTAGTTGGGAGGATTATGTGCTAACATTCAGTTAAAAGCTAAGCATTATGTCTGGCACGCTGCGCACTTTCAATAGTGCCTGTCTTGCTATAAATCTCTTCCATCCTCTGGTGTGGTTCTGGTGAGAGTCTCTCACACACTCACTAAGAAACAGCTGAGTTGGTTTTAGCAGTTATGCCTCTTAATACCCCTGGGGGAAGCTAATATAAGCAGTTTTCTAAAAATAGGACTGCTCTATTTAAGAAAACAAAAAATATTTTAAAAACACATATTATCCTGACAAATTTAAATTGAATTTCAGATGGACAACAAACACACTTTTGGTGTGTGGTCTGTTTTATCTGGCCGTGTTACTCTAAAGGCTGTTCCCAAATCTCATAGGGCCCTTTTGCTGCGCTCTCAAAGAGGACTTGGGCACAAAATGTTTCAGAATGACAGCACTGGAGATGGGAGAGGGAGTTTAGTTCTTTTTAAATATTATGTGGTTTTATTCAGCTAGTAGGATAAAATAATAAACTGATTTGAAATAACAAATGTGCTATTTCACATTCACAATGCTGCACACTGTCAAAACGGAAAAATAGAATAAGGTTATTATAACATGTTGGTGCCTGAGAAATAGAAACAGCGTTAGACATTGTTGTAAGAGTTCTTACTATGTGTATGTTCAAGACGTAAAGATGTCCCTTAGAAGTGAAGACAGCCAAGATTCTAACAAGGCTGATGTTTTCCAGAGCCTGAAGGAGAAATAAAAATGTTCTAGATTAAACAAAAGCTGAGAGAAATCATCATCTCTAGACTGATGATGCTCTGCAAGAAATGCTGAAAGTAGTCTCCCAAAGTGAAACAAAAAGATAAGTATCAGCACATAAACATGAAAGTGAAAAGGTCCCTGCTGAAGGTCATATAAAAATAATCTAAGGATGTAATGGTGTTGCATACAGATACTCACCTTTAATACAGGTATAGAAGGCAAGCAAATACAGTCTTAAAAAGTTATGTTTATGCTTTTTATTTTGTATCTAAGTAGATACACAATATAAATACTAATTGGTGACATCACCAGTAAAGTGTAGAGGAGAAATAAAAGTATAAAATTTGAATATGCAACTGAAGTTATTTAGTGTCAGCTTAAAATAAGTTGTTTCAACTACAGTTTTCTGTAAATCCCATGGTAATACACAAGGAAAACACCAACTGAAGATAAGCAAAGAAGTGAGAAAGGAACTGATGTATGTCACCATTAAAACCGAACAGTGACATGAGCAAACCAATTGAAAACAGAGTGACACAAGAATTACATGACAGATGTAAAAGAGTGAACAAGACGGCAATTTTAGGTCTTTCCTTGGCAGTGATCACTTTAAATCTAAATAAATAAAACTCAGTAATCAAAATACAGCAAGGGCTAAAAGGATTACCAAAAAGGATCAGGTCCAATATATATGGTTACTTCAGATGTAAGATGATAAAGATATTCCATGAAAATGGTAACAAAACGAGAAGATATAGTCAAGCTTAGACAAAAAGTCCTAAGTCATACATTTATATAAAAGACTAAGCAGGATATTATATAATGATAAATTCCATGAAGATGTCAAAATTTAAAATATACATGCATGTAACATCATAACATTGAAATAAATGAAGTAGGTATTGACAGAGCCTATAAAAGAAATAGCAACACATTAATTGATGTTAAAACACTAGTTTCATAATGGGTAGAAAGGACCAATATGGAAACAAAGCACTTGTGGTAAGTTATCAGCAAAATGGATGTAACAGATATATACAGAGCATGAAGTTCAACAGCAACAAATTGCAAAGCCTTCACAGCTATACACAGGATACTCTCAAGGAAAGATCACACATTGTCCCATAAAAGAAGCCTTGAGAAAGTTAAAGCTCAAAAGCAAAGTGTAAACTAGAAATTTATAAATAGGTGAAAATTATGCAACACATTTTTGAACTACAGTGAGTGAAAGAAGAAAAGAGTCAAAAATATATCTTGATAGAAATAAAAATGAAAATATTACATATCAAAGTACACTGGAGATAGCAAAGTGATGCTAAAAGGAAAGTTTATAGCAAAAAATGTTTATATTAAAAATATCCCATGTAAATATACTAACTTTATCAGTGCAGGGACTGTAGAGATAAGAACAAATGAAATCCAAAACTATAAAAGAGAACAATAAACAGTAACAATGAATGAAATAGAGAATAGAAATAATCAATGAAACTAGCAGTTGTTTTCAACACCAATAAATATATTTTTAAAAATCCTCTATCTAGACTAAATAAAGAATAAAAATAAGAAGACAAATAAAACCAGCAAGATTCTTTACATAGAATCTCACCAAATTATACAGACTGTACATAGAAATAAATAGAATATCACACAAAAAATATATAGAATATACAAAAAATTCCCGCAAAACACACCTGGAATTTATAGCCAACTTCAAGAAGGTGGAATTATACAAAATCAACACACAAAAATCTGTAACTTTCTTGTCCACTAATAGTGAACTCATCTAGAAAAAAGTACCTTTCACAATAGTATCAAAAAGGTAAATACTTAGGAAATAGCAGAATATTTAGAAATTCCAAAGAAATGGAAGACCTCTAATGAAAGCTACAATGCTTTGTAAATGGAGGTCATGGAGAGAATCAGAAAATAGAAATACATTCCTTGAGCCTAGATAGGCAGAACTAGTGTCTTCAAAACAGCCATAATTACCAAAACTGATGCATAGCTTTAGTGCAATTCCCAACCAAAACATCAGCAACATCCTTCACTTGATCTTTGACAAAGGAACAGAAAGCATACAGAAAACTGACAATACAGGTGTAGAAGATGAAATATAGACCCATATGTAACACAATGAACCAAAATTAAATAAAAATGGATCAAAGAAATAAATATTAAGAAATAATACTTACTCTGCAGATGGAAGATAAAATAGGCAAAACTCTTGAAGATGCAGGTACAGGTAAGGACTTTCTGAACAGAACCCCATTGAACACTAAAAAATATGAATTATTAACACATGGGATTATATCAAATTAAAAATCTTTTGCAAATAGGAGGTAATAAAGTGAAAATAACCTACAAAATAGGGGTGGGCACTGCTCTAACAGAGGACTACTATCTTGCCTTATAATGAACTCATAACTTCAGATAACCTCAAAATAAAAGACTCCATCAAAAAGTGGACAGCTAAAATGAACAGCCACTTTTCCAAAGAAGTACAAATGATATATAAGCACACATAAAAATGTCCCACATCTGTGGCCGTTCAAGGCATGCAAATTAAAACAAACATGAGATCCCACCTTTCTTCAGAAAGAAGACCTATCATCAAGAAATCAATAAGGAAAAAGCCAAGGGTTAAGGAGGAGGGGAAGGGGAAATAAATAGAATAAGTAGGTGCCATGTACAGGGTCCTAACTGCATCAGTTAATGTGAACATTGTATGCCATACCATGAGCTAGGATTAATAATATCAACAAGAATGAAAAATGCAATGCAGCAGTTGAAGGCGAAGGGAGAAGGGGAGAGAAAGGGAAGGAGATTTAAAGAAAAAGAAACAAGCTGTGTGGCATGGACGTGTTTACACTCAAGTGAGTGTAAACTGTGTGATCTGCAAACATGAGGTGTGAAAAGAATTCAAATATTAACAAGTGCTGGTGAGGTTTTAGGGGAAAGTCACCCTTCTGCATTGTTGGTAGTCATGGGAACTAGTACAATCATCACGAATGTCTGGATAGAGATTCCTCAAAAATTAAAACTAAAAATTCCACTTAATCCAGGTATTTCTCTTTATCTGAGAAACTGGGACATGTATAGTCAAAACTAGAATGAAATTGGCTTCTTATGCACACTAAATATTTTTAAATTGATTAAAGATTTAAAT